CAGTTTTCATCTCTGAACATGCTGGGGCGGGAGACATTCTAAAACATGATTTGTGCGTGCTCTCTCTCTCTTATACATACACACACACACACACACACACACACACACACACACACACACACACACACACACACACCATCTGTACTAGAGGCACACTGAATGAATGGGTGTTTTTGCTGAAAAGTGTTCATATGCCCTGGAGTAAAACACATTCAACCCTCTTAGATTCTGCAAAAATAATTAGCTTCCCTGTCCTCATAATAGTTGCTTTTTTTTTTTTTAAGAAATAAAACACTTTTTATATGTTTGCTGCCTAAATAAAAGATTGGAAAAATTGTAAATGGAAATGCATAAGCTAATTGTTTTTGACAGAATACCCAGTTCAGAATAAATTAACTTACGTCTATATTTGAAAAATTAAATAAAGTTCACCCTTGAACCAAGAAAAATTAAATTTTTAAAAGATCAACAGCAACAAAACAAATATTTTGCCACGGAGAACACGGTATGTATTCAAGGGCTCTAGTGGCCAGAACATGGCAAACATGGCTCTGGCAGGCCTTGCCCTCCCCTGTTCTCTCTGCCTAGCTAAACGGTTAGATTACATTCCTAAGGCCAGCCTCCAAGGTCTATTCCCTTATTTGGCCACTTCCTCCTCCTGAGGCTGACCACCAAGGTCCAGTTATGGAAGTATTGAAGTCCAGCAATCAAAAGTCCCCTTTCACTACCTTAATTAACATGTCCAGTCAAGACAAACCAAATTATCCTAACAAGGGGTTTCCCTTTTTCCCTTTATAAACTGCCATTTGCCTATGGGCCACGCCTGTCCCCTCTATCTGGGGGCAGTCCCGTGTCCCCTCTTCCTTGTTCGCTTCCCCTTCCTCCTTGTCCTCTAGCTCCTGTCTTTGTCTCTTATTCCCTGCCCTCTGTCCCTCTGGGGCAAATTCATCTCTGTGCTGAGAACTTGGTCTTGGGTGTCTTGTGCTGATTCCGGTCCTTTCATGTATACTCTGTACATGTTCAATTCTTGGTCCCCAAAATAGCATTTATTTTCTATTATTCTACTGAAAGCTGGTGGGTCTCTATCAGTCCTAAAAATACTTGAAGATACTCATTACAGTCCCATAAGCCCTGGCCATGTACTTCAGAAACACCGTGAACTGGCCTCTTGAGGGGACACCAGGGCAGAATCACAATTGCAGAGGCTTCTCCAAACCTTTACTGCTGAGACATGGATTATAACCTGCACACCTCCAAGTATGCCTTAGCCTTAGGTGGCTGTGTAAGGTGTGGGCATTTGAGGAACACTGTTTTCTGTTGCTGACACAGCAGGAGGATTCAGACCAGTGTCCATCCAACCTACTCACATGGACCATGGCTGGAAGTAGGACAGGGTGAAATGAAATACAGTGCTTCAGCTTTCAGAATGATCCAACCTGAGTGATCACTAAAAAGACCTACAATTTTGTTCTATTTGTTAAACCAAATGCCTCCAAATATAACTGATATTTTAAAATATCACTATAAGAAGCAACAAACTAACTAGGAAAGCACATTTTTATTTATGATTGAACATGATTCTTTACTTCGTAATTCACGAGGACCTTGCCAACCATGTTCTCTTATACAGAGAAAAGAGTTTCAGCCAGGGAGTCCCAACAAGACTAACCACACAGACACAAGGCAGGGACAAAGGCCAAGGGAAAGGTTTCCAAACCACCTCCACATTTTAAATACTCTCTTCTTAGGAAAAGGACACTGTCTAACTACAGAAGTTCAACCTCTGCATCTCCTCCACTCAGCCCTCCTCCCAAGCTTGTATACAGCAGGGACGGCAAGATAAAGTCAACATTGCAAAGGGCTGTTTCCATCTGGAAGGGTGAATAACCCAGACTAGACTAGAAATTCCAGAAGTTCAGAGTTCAAATTGCCCCACATATATAAAGTCACTACAAAGGCCATTTTGAAAAATATAAAAGCTTTGAAATGAATAGCTACATAAACAAGGAGGGGTGTGACACTGACTTCCTCCTCGAAATAGTCCTAGAACATACCCACAGTTGATGTTCCTGTCACTGTGGCCGTAACACAGGGAAGCCTTCGGAAATAGACTGTGTATAGCAGTGCCTCTAACTGTTCTGTCATGCCACCCCATCTCACCTCCTCCAGAGCAAACAGCTGTCTAAAGATATCTGGTATTTGTATTGCTCATTTCTCCCTACATTAGCTCCAGGGGGCTAGGGTCTTCCCTGGTCTGCTTGGCCACTAATCCCCAGCACTTACATGTACACATTAGGACCAACAAGTCTGAATGAACTATGCTGACAGGAAATTACCAACAAAGGAGGTACTCCCTGACTCCTAAAGATCATTCAGACAAATGAAGGAGATAGTTTCAAAGTGTTAAGTTAGTGAAACCCACACATTACAGTACTGATTGGAAAGATTCAATAGATTTAAAAAATAGCAAAAACTGACAACCCTTTGGCTTGTTTCTCTCAAATACCAAAAAGGATTCTCATTTATGCCCCATTACTATGAAAAGGGAACCTGGATTTTGGTCTACAACATAAAAAATGAAACATTTCACAAGAGAACCATCACAGCAATGGCATTTCTCAGCTAAAGACCAGAAAACAGGATTCCAACACCATCCATGTTTCTGCTTTTCTTAGTTGAGGCAAAATTAACATTCAACGACATGTACTATTTGATGAGCTTTGACAAATGTCCTAAGCCATGTACACAACATCCCAATGCAGATTTAAGCATTTCAACACTGGATAGTTTCTATGCCTGTTAGTCAGTTCCTACCATCCCATGGGAACCTCTATTATAATTTCCACACAACCATTGCATTTTACCTGTCTGGGAACCTCATTTGAATGTTCTTGCTGCTGGTGGCATCTGCAACTCATTTGTTTCTATTGCTTAGTAGTACCCCTTTGAATGAGAATGTCATACTTTATTTCTCTATTGTCCTGTTGATGGACATTGAGTTGTTTTCCAGTTCAAATAAGGCTTCAGTAAATATTCTCACAAAAATATAGGTCTATTATTTTGTACCTCTTGAAGAAATGCTGAGACGTGGGGCTGTCGGGTCGCCATAGGTGACTGTGTGAAATGGGCACACAGTCTTCCTATCTACTTTGCTGTCCTCTTACAGATACAGAGATAGGCTTGAGCCGCCCCCATCACAGCCAACACAGACGGTCTAGTCAGCCCTTCTGGTGCACATGCCATGGTGTCTCCTCACAACTCTAAATCTTCACAGGGCTCAAATCCATGTGCTGGTCAGCTACATTTGTTTTGGTTTTGTTTTTGTTTTTCAAGACAGAGTTTCTCTGTGTAACTGCCCTAGTTGTCCTGGAACTCACTCTGTAGACCAGGCTGGCCTCAAACTCAGAGATCTGCCTGCCTCTGCCTCTGCTGGGATTAAAGGCGAGCAAGCACCACCACCGCCCAGCTAGGTCAGCTACTTTAGGACTTCTTTGTTGATGTGCCCCAAGTTTCTATCTTTGGTTAGAATGCGCAATAGATAGAATTCCAGATGTCATAACAATAGTGACAAGATATTTAAGAATAAAACCAATAAAAGATAGAAAACTCCTCTAGTGACAAAATAAAATCAAAGAATCTGAGTGCATGACAGAATAAAAAGAGAGATACTATGTTCATGGATGGAGATTCAATATAATCAAAACATTTGTTCTCTACAAATTTATATAATTCAATGCAACTCCAATAAAACACTCACTGAAAATTTTATACAAAATGGGAGTTTGTTCTAAAATTTCTATAGAATAAAGGCCTTCAACTAAGCAATTTTGAAAGACAAAAGGTGGTATTATTTACCATATCATGCAACAGACCATTATAAAGTCCTACTAATTATGAAAGAGAGGTATTAATGGAAAGAGAGCCAAATCAATAAAATGGAAGAGACCTCAGTTGTAATTATGCATCCATGGAAACCTGAATTTAAAAATTAATGGGAAATCTATGTATGGTGATGCTGCATCATGCTTGTAGTCTTTGGAGGCTGAGGCAGGAGGATGGCTTAAGCTCAGAAATTCCAAGACTAGCCTAGGCAACATAGGAAAGTGCTATCTCAAAACAAAAGCAATGAAAAACAATGGGAAAAATGAATCAATAAATTATGCATGTTGAAAATTATATTCTCAGACTGGTAAGATCGTTCAGTGTGACAAGGCACTTGTTACTAAGCCTGATGACTTGAGCTGGATCCCTGGAACTCAAGTGGTGGAAGAAGAGAAGGAACCTCACCATTCCTCTCATGCAGAGACTGGGGGCAACACTTGTCAAAACTTCATTTCAAAGGTTCTTTAGACTTAAAAATTCTGCTTATCTAGATTATGTCCATCAATATTTACTGCACTGGAAGTTACAACTATTTTATATATTAAAGCTAATGATAAACAAATACATACTATAAATAACATACTTTAATTTAAAAACTGCATTTTCCAAAAGAAGCAAATGTTAATGTTTCTTGTGAGCCTAGTCTTGAAAGGCTGAGCCACTTCTCCAGCCAAGAAGCAAATTTTAGTAAATATTAGAATGATTTTACTTTATATTTTTCCAAATTTGGCATGATAGACTCTGCATTCAATCTACTGCAGAATCAGATATTACATGTCCTCAGGAGAACTTCACTGTGTATTTTAAGAGTATGAAATAAAAAATAAAAATTATTATTTTTAATATGATAGTTTTCATCCTGTGATTGCTGAAAGGGTCTGAGAGTAGGAGAAAAGAGTCCTGTAGAGGTCTCCTGATCACATTGGAAGCTATCTTTATAAGCTGGTGCGCGCGCGCACGCGCGCACGCACACACACACACACACACACAATATCCACTACAGTACTCTAGCAAGAAATTGCAACATTTACCAGGAACTGTTGTGTGATATTTTGTTTGTGTTCTGACAAATAAAGCTTGCCTGGAGATCAGAGGGCAGAGCTAGCCACCAGTTAACCATAGAAGCGGAGGTGGTGGTGACTCACGCCTTTAATCCCAGCACTTGGGAGGCAGAGAAAGGAAGTGATAAGGCGGGACGGAGACAGGATCTTGGTCCTTCTGGTCAGAGGATCTGAAGAGGTAAGAAGTCACTGGTGGCTGTTCCTCTGCTTCTCTGATCTTTCAGGTTATTACCCCGATCTTTGACTCTTGGTTTTTATTGATAAGATTTAGATTTACACTTCAGAATGTATAGTGTTTATTACACAGAATATACTACATAGCAGTTTAAAGACACTACATGAATCAATGTAACCTCCCAAACACTGCTCTAGAAACAAGCTGAAGAGTGATAAATTATGCAAAAAAAATTTCTAAGTGTATAGTTCAAATAAACTTGGAATAAATTATAATAGCACTATTTCTAACTAAGATACATGCCTAGGTGGTGCAAAATACCGAATGTTATACATGTGAT